GGCACACGAAACTGGTAAGAGGTTACTTGACACGATGGAGACAGGCTACAGTGAAAAGGTTAGTGTCAAGTTAGCTCTGAAGCTCAGGGTGGCAGCCGTGGGCCCCGCTGGAAACTGGACAAATTGATAGTGCTTGGAAACGCCAAGTTTGTGCTCGGTAACTTTACGTTGTGCTTCTTAATCTGAGGTGGGGCTCGTTAATATTGGCGTTTGCGCGAGGGAATCTGAGGCTCTTGCTCAGAAACGGCAATTATCGTTTATTAGGGCTGAATCTGAAGAAAAACTGATGATATTAAAACATGTTCCACCCATTTTATAAACCAGGGAGCAAAGCTGTCTATTATGGGCAGATATATAAATGACAAAGCTGATAGATTCACTAATGTAAAATGATGACAATGCACAAAATGTGTCAATTTTGATGCATATTACATAATGCTTATGAGCATAATCCCCACAAAATTTCAATAATATAATATATTATCAGTACTGTGGAAATTCAGAAAATGTTACTGGGGCAGAACTCCAGGCCCAGGTGACTTTAAAGTCACACCCTGAAGATGAAATGCCAATTTGTGAAAAAAGGAAAATTTGCAAAAAAAACTGCAAACCACAAAAAAAAAAAAAAAAGCGGCCTTATAAAGTTGTCATTCAAATTTGTCATGTATTTTGGTGCTGCAAATCATTCTGGTAAGTTTTAGGTCCTATTTGCACAGACGCCATTGGTCTATGTGGAGTCTGTGGGGACTCTCACTGACTGCAATCAGCTTAAATGACAGACACTTCTCCTTCTGACATTAAGTAGAATACAGAAAAGCTAGTGATTATAAGAGTTCTTGGAAACAAGAGCAGACATGTCATTCAGATAAGTTGATTGCACTTAGCAAGTCTCTGCAGATCTATCCATATAGACCAATGGTGCCTATGGGCATGGGGTCTAAATGGACAATAAGTGACTTGGTTTTTCATTTATAGCATAAACTGTGAAAAGTGCATGGTGCAGATGAGGCCAAAGATGCTGGTGACAATGACAACAGGCACAGGTTACATGGCTACATGTCTAGACACATTGAGATACAAATTGTCTGTCAATCAAAAAAAAAAAAAAAACAGAACATTGGGGGAAATGCCGTCTGTTACCAAAAAAATTTAAAGTTCATTTAAAATCTTGACTATTTACTCTGAGACTCATGGTTTACCTGCAATCTAAATATGAGATGTAAGATGTCTTTTACAGGAATATGTGTGCAACTAGGAACATTTTGTTCAGTTGATTATCTATTTTCCTGGAAAATCTCCTTTGGTAGCCCTAAAATTGGTGCAGATAAACCTCGCCGATAACATATGTTATTAACTGTGTACGTGGAACTAAATCAAATGGAATTTATCATATTTTAAATTATAAGGGGTTGATTAATTTAGGTTGCCCTTTGAGAGTTTAAATACATAAATGTAAATTGAAAATTAACTTAAGCATAAACAGGATACTATAACTACTTTGTGAAATTAGTATTCATTGTCAAATCTGTCTGTTGTCTGGTAATACTGAAATCTTTGTTTTCATTAATTTGATATTATGTCCATGTCTTTTTTTATTTTTTTCAAGGGAAGGTAAGGGAAATAGGGACTTTCAATTTTCAACCTTGGAAAAAGTTAACTATATCTCTAGTCATTGTACAGTAAAAGTTAAATATGTAAAACTAGACAGAGATGTGGTCTCTCAAACAGAATAATTATGTATCACATTTCTTGGACAAATGAACACCCTCATTTATTTCTTGGGAATTCACATCATCATCCCCCATTCACAGCTTGATGACATTCCAGGAAAGCTGTAGAAAGTGCTGTGGTGTCTGGAGCAAAGAACTTCAATGGAAGCATCTCAATAAAAGAATAGAAGTGCTAGAAAAATGTGTGCCAACATCAAAAATTATGTGATTTAGACCAACATTTCTATTAAGAATTCTCAGGGCAGATACAGGTGACTTAATAGACTTATGTTTACATATTCTCTCAATGCCAAATTCTAAATTAATTTTAGGTTAGATACACATATATAACATTTAATTATTCTTTCACCAAGTAATTGGCTTGGCACATAAATGGTCTAGCTACAAACTGTAAGATTTCACAATAATTGTTCTGCTTGGAAACATTTTCTATAGTCGTAATGTTGCTGGGGTTTGTTCACACACAGTTTTACTTGCTCTATCCGAGAGGATTCATCAATCTTAATCAAATATGAAGCAGTTTGTATCTTTGGCATATATGTAAACAATTTTTTCCTGTACCTACAGTTATGACAACTGTGAAGGAGTCAAAGCATGACTACATCATAGAGATACAGGCCCCCAGTAAGGAACTACATGATAAATGTAATTTTGAAGAGGTTCTGTTTCACTTTCAATAATCACCAGTTCCCAGAAAAAAAGGAGGTTCTGTCATTTTTCATCAGTTTAGCCTGGATTCCCTTCAAGTTATTACTAAAAGCAATGATCTTTCGTTTACCCTACTGCTCCAATCAAACATCATATAAATGCTGAAAGAGGGCAGCATGCATGTGTGCAGACGTGCAGGCATGTATGTCTGTCTGTCTACAAATGTGCGTACATGTGTGCGTGCATGCCTCCAAGTGATGGAACAGTGACCTAAAGTACTTTGGTTAAACAATATGCATTTTCATCAAAGAATTTGTTTTTTCTCAACTTTTTGCCTACTCACCGACATAGTATGCTGTTTCAGCCGCATTGGACCGAATGTTAGTTCACTCTCTGAGACCTGGAAAAGAAAACAAACTTGTTTGTGTGCTGATCAAAATATGAAACCCTTACCCTAATTAAGTAACTGTTTTTACACAATCTGCACATGTGCAAATTAACTTCATAAGAATCTTTCCTAAGGAGATTCAGGATTTCCTCATACTGACACATTCAGAGTAAATCAATTAAGAATTGCAATTTTTCTTTCCAAGAGTTCTGAATTTCAGCTGCACATGAAAAAGAGACAAAAAAAGACCTTTTTTCCATGAAAGAGCATTTCAAAAAGAAAAACACTAACTGCTCCTATTCAAAACAAACATCACTTGTATAAATTTTCAGCTAGTGACTACATGCGCCATGTGAATCTATTCATATATGTATCATATGTATCTACAGATATCAGTAAAGCGAAGCCTTTAAACATCATCATGAACTAGTTTTATCATCAACAAAACAATAAATGATACTGATTTTAAAATAACACTACACTGAAACATAGATTTACATTTAATTCATACATATAAGTGTTTGGCAAACTGAAAGACTAAACATTTCATTAAACAATCATTAATTTGATAAAATCTAACAGCAAAACACAATCTTCATTTTTGTGGTGCTGATAACCAATGCATTCTAGTCATTAAGTTCTTAAAATGATTGTTTTAGTTTGGCATGTAGATTATATATATATATATTACTTCAACTTAATATGGTTTTAACCCCTTACTCTCACATCAGAACATACGTAAAAGCTGCATTCTCTTTGCTTCTCTTCAAATTCATCATGCTCCAAATCAAGCTGGCCAATCATGCAAGTGTGTCATTAAAACTCTAAAAATGATTTAATTTCTTTTCATTTGCACCTGGCTAAGTGTAATCTACACTTGTACAATGGAGCATCTTCATCTGCACAAGTTTTGAAAGCTACCTAGTTTGAGAAAGCTTCATTGCTTTACCATACTACAAGTCATAGAAAAAATATATAATTTTTCTTCTTACTACCTTCAAAATGTTCTGAGCTGTGTATAATTGTAAATGTGCACAGAAATCAGAGATTTAAAACATTCATGCAGGTAGAAAATCCACTGAGAGCCACATGTGGATAACATATATAAAGAAGACACAGGTTATGTACTGTACCTTGACAATTAGAGATGGCAGTAACCATGCATGAATGCAACAGTTGATATGTGGAAGGCTGGTGTTGGAATCAATCACTACACAATCATATCAATAGCGTAGAATAATCCTTTTCATCTCACTATTATCATCAAAAATTCCTTAACATTAATCAATCTATCAAGAATGAAGGTTTTAGCTCAAATTTCTGTAAACAATTTCTCTCGAAACCCTTTCAACATGCTACACTGAATTCTTGATATGCCTATCCAATAAATTATCCAGAAAGTCTTCACCACCAAGTTCTGACAGTAATTACAGATCTTCTGATCAATAGACAAGTGTCCTTTACCCATCTTAAAGTCATTACCCAAAGGCTCCTTTATCAGTATTGACTGGGGACTTTAAAGTTTGAGAACCAAGTATAATGAAGATGCTTCTGTCAAGAAATGAACAATTCTGCATCTACCCCCCCCCCCCTCCTACCTCCCACTTGCATTCTACATTTTCCCCTTTCTAAATTGTTTTTGATACAACAAAATGCAATTTTAGAAATCAAATCCCTGTATTTCTATGGCCCAGAATTAGATCGTATATCAAATTTATCAACAGACATTAGTCACCACAAAATGTGCTTTGTAGTCAAATTGAACTGTATTATCATTCCTTCATTCTTAATCCACTTTACGATGTTCCCACTCCAGATTATCTGGTGTCCCATCTGAATGGTCAACACATAGAGAGCATGCAGTTACCCATAAGTAGATCAGTTTTGATCAATTTACTTGTATTCACACTTACAGGCAGGAGAAGTAAATGTAATACATGAAATTTAAAGATAGAAAAAAACATTAACTTGTATTTCAAGAACACAATCACAGATCTCTCTCTCTCTCTCTCTCTCTTTCTCTCTCTCTCTCTGCATAGTGTAAATGATGCCATAGGAAGAAGAGGATTAAGACTAAATATTAAAAAAAACAAAAACAATTGATAAAATTTAGTTTGTTCGCTTAATCAAATCAGTAAAATGCAGAGGAAATTTCATCTGTATACAGTAGGTATTTATTTTGCTATTTCACTTGCTAGAGATAACCCTGTATACAGAGACTGTAGTATAGCATATCAGATTATTTTAAAGGCAACCCAATGCATTACAAATACACATATGAGCATGTGTCAAAACAATTTTAAGTACAGAGATGTCATATCAGTATTTGAGATGATAAATCTGTCGTCAGGGGAAGATAAAACTTCATGTTATAATTCTGCACCAAACTGCTTTGAGTCAAGCAACCACTTGGCATTCCAATGGAACAAGTTCTGTGACCTATGTGCCAATATTTTGGTTGTTCTCATTTTTTTGCTTTTTGACTCTCTAAGCACTGCACAGTTTTTTAAGAAAAATCCATTTTTTTATACTCAACAAGATTTGTTAAGTCTGAAACGATTTACCATCCAACATGGCATACTACATTTAGTCAGACCTTCCAGCTACTTTCAAGCTGAAGAAAAATTAGACTGTTTATATACATGAAAGAAGAAAGACAAAAAGAGGACCAACCTGTTCAGCATTGCATCATTTTGACAACGAATAAAACATTTAGAAAACAAAAAACAATACCCAGTAAAACATTGCATCATTTTGATAATGAATAAAACATCCATTTCAGTTGGATTTAATATTATTGCACATTGAATTCACACATGTAATGGGCAGAAATACCTCACTGAGCATGTAAACATCTGCCACTGCATGAAGTACTTATATTAGTTAACATACCTTTGTCTAAAAGCAAGGAGGGATGGGAGATAAAATAACTAGCAAAATACAATAAAAATAATAATAATCTACTCAAAATTACCAAATAACTTACTATATGCATTTGTTTATTTTAAGTAGACACAAATGCACAAAGAGCATTGCTTGGTCAAGTTTATTTCTCAAAAATACATGTTATGATATGTGCATATCCCATGGACAGCAGTTTTTAACTAGAACCTGTAGTTCTTCACCTTGGCTTAGGAAATAAATTCAAATTTCTGTACATTATAAGACAAACATGTATGAGAACATCCCTTAGACAATTTTTTTCATTTTTCAATTTCTCAGGTTAGCTTAGACAATCTCTCCAGCATGAACACATGAAAAAATTATATTGCCACATTTATCCTGCAGGCAACATGAAACACATGTAAAATGAAGCAGTTACTTCATATTTTTCCCTCAAGGATAACATAAAACTTTATGTATTACTATTATAACCCAGTCATGTGTGTGGTGCCGTGCCCCCATACCAGCACTGGAGATGGACCACGAGATAGTACTGATAATCATCGCTGCTTGCTCGATTCTGATCTAACAGGACTAATATCTCATAGCAGGTAGAGACAGCTCCACACATTAATCGTACCTAATGCCCCTTCTTAGTTCCAGCAGCATGCAGGGGACCCTTCGAACCTTAGCGAGATAGGCAGCTTTATCTTGGCAATTTTAATGAAAAAAATGTCATCAGAGAGATTTAATTCTATCTGGGACATTGGAGTGGGTGTGTTATCTGGTAGTTTGTGCTATGATCAAAGTATAGAGGTGCAGTGATCCACATGACAATATAGATAACTTGGTTTATTGATTTTACGGGATCAAACTAAACACCAGTGGGAAAGATGCAGAAAAAAAGGAAAGGAAATTAGGCTTAATTTTCAAGGCATGCTGTATAAATATGTAAATTATCAAAATTTGAGGATTTGAGAGAAAGTATATACTTTCGAAATTTTTTACCCATTCATGAAGATTGTTCTTTTGGAATGAAGTTTGAAAAATGCTGTTTATATTACATAATTGTTTAACTAATTCTAAGAGACAGTTAAGATGACAAAAAGTTTACCCTTCATCCTCAAAGACTCCCAATTTCACTTGATGACATGGAACTATACTGTACAATATCTTTTTATCTTTAACATCAATCATACTTCATATCAGCTAAATTATTAGTGAAATTCCCAATGCTCACCACGACATGCCTCGTTTAGAAAGATTCTAACTACGTGAACTGTACGCTTTTGTGCATTAAAAATTCATAGTGATTGCAACTTCTATTGGAAAATTGAGAGGAAGGCAATATAATCTTTCTGCTATCCTATTCACTGCTTAATATTTAAATTAGTCCTGTGCCATTTAAGTGAATTCTTCAGGTGAAAAATAATAACCTTACAGTCTGTACAAAGAGTAAAGTTTAAAGATGTATTGTGCAAGCTGTCTGGAAAAGCAGCCTTCACAGTTTGGGTCAATTTTATATTGAAACAAACTATGTCAATATAAAAATTGACACAAACTGTGCTAATTTTTATATTCTTTCATAATAAAGATGACAGTGATGGAAATGAATGAGTGACCAAAATAATCAAAGATCATCTATTACAACTTGGACAAATAAAACGCTTCTTTCGTCCGAGATAACAAAGTCAATTTCAATGCTGAGATTTTACAACAAGTAATGGGATTATCAAGAGATTTCACATTACGCCTGGACAGCAATCAGATCCACTGTACATCTTAGCAGTGGGGAGACTGTGTTTAGCAGCCCATGAACTGACACAATGGCCTTTGAAACACCACTGCACCTGGTATGTTATCAGTGTTATTTGTCTGTCCACTTGCCTACAATCTTAACACCGCAAGTGATCTCTACATGCAATACTGACGTCAAGCCACCAACTTCCCTGCTCATCTGATAGGCCGCACAATTAATGTCCCCTGTCTGACACAGCATTCATGGCTTTTTAATCCTCAGATTTATGGGATGCAGCAAGGAGAAGAGGGATGATGGTATACATTACAGCTTCAATATGCTACAGTGCTTTTAACTGGGCTCAAGGAAAAGATGCAGTATATTTCCACTT